GAAAGCTTGACATGATATGTCTAAATGCATATACTTAATTTATAGACAAAATTCTTATACATTACATTCTTTTTTATTTAATTAAGTTTTTTTTTTTTTTTTTTTTTTTTTATATATATTCTTAATGAGGCAACTCTAATTAAGTATTGCATAATAGTATTTATATATTGAAGTACCATAATATTGGATGCTCAAGAAATTTAATGTAGTCACTTCACTCACATTATCTTGAATGAAGCAAAGCAAGGAACAAAACGTAAGACAATGGTCTCTATCAGTAATCTATCTAACAACAACATAATTGTTATACATGTAAGTGATTACAAGTAACTTGGGCCCTTGATATACTCCCTAATTGCTCTAAAATATAAACTAGATAAGTCCTATTTAAAAAGGCTATTAAACTTCATAACTTACAATGATTGCCAAAATTGAATATAAAATTAGTTTGATCAAATTCAACAAACAATATAGGTAAATTAGATGCAAAAAAAATAAAACCATAGATCTTAGAAGATAATAATTGTAATAAGTCATACTTCTATGATGATTAAAGTTTATTATATGCAAGTATGAATATACAAGAAAAAATAAAATAAAATTAGGTCTAAAACTCACTTTTATTCATGTTAGCAAAAAAACAATTTAAATTTGTTTACCTATCTTTAGTAGCTATTGTAGATCTAATACACTTATGCATGCTTCTATATAAGTTCTTATACTTATTAAATATAATTAAAGTCTAAAAATCTTTAATATGCTTCTATAATTCTAATATTTTTTGAGAGGTTTTATATTGGTTCAATTAACGTTTTAAAGTTGTCCATAAGTGTTTGATTTGATTCAAGTCTAGAGATTGTGCCAACTACTTCAAAAGAATAAATTCTCACAAATTGAGCTAATAATACACACTTTTAGATGTATGCTTGGAATCATTATCCCATTAAAAAATCAAACTTATAGGATATATATTGTATGTATATACTATATGAATCAATTCTTGCTCTAAAATTTTATTATACATATATTGATCCATTCTTCCCTCAATCCTATATATCATACTAAGACCATTTGGAATCTTCCAATCCTATATCATCATGCTTCTACCTCTACTTTTCATTATTTGTTATACCATTCTAGTACTTATATTTTGTCTGTCACAAAGTTAATATCAAGTGCAACCATTGGAACAAAATTAATTAACTTTTGTTTTATCAAAGAATATGACATGATCTTAATAATTAATAATTCAATGACAATGACATTTAGTAAATTTTAATCTTGCCTTAACTTGATAAAGTAAGAGCTTTGATTTCTTTTGGTTCACTTTAAATTTTAAATTTACTTCACTTAATACTATTTTTATATTATTATCACTCATATCAACATGAAGTTCATTTCTCAAGTAATTTCTAACTTTAAGTGTAGTTTTCTTGCCATTTCTAGTAATTTCTCTCATACAAGTCCTTTAATTAGTTGTATTATACATCCTTGGCCTATTACCAAAAATATGATTTACATTATTCAAATCAATAAAATATTGCTTATAAAACCATGTAATCCAACTTTAAGACACATACAAATCTCTAACAACATTTTTAGTACTCTCACCCTTCTTCAATTTTTGCAAAGCTACCACTTCTACTAGCTTTCTATCAATAACAAAGAAATACCTCAATAAAACCATTTTGTTTAGTTTGCATAAGTAATGTGCACTAATAATAGATACAATTAAATGTATAAAGGCTAAGAATATGCCCATACTATCAATTACATTCAAAAAACCACTTGTATATGTTAGATTTGTAACTTAGATTATATTATATCATTATAATCTAAGTATGAGCATAATTGATTTTTAAAGGTATTTTTAATTCATTTTGATCCATATCTTTTTCAATCTATCTTATATTGTTAGACTTATAATTTGATAGCTATTTTAGTTACCTAAAACAAAACTTGAATCACCAACTAATTTTTCTATTATTATAATAAATTATAAAATATGATTGGCTAATAGTAGAGTTACTGATTTCATACTCAATTTTGGCAGTCATTAACTCCCAAGAGGCCAGTACCGTTGTCCACATTGTGAAAAAGGTGAAGAACTATCATCCCAACTGAGTTAGTGTGAGTTTGTGAAGAATATTGGTGTCATTTCCCCATGTAATCAGTAGGTTAGCAAGCTGAAAAAGGCTCTTGTAAGTCAGAAATTAGGTGAATTAAAGGTGGGGAGTGTGGAATTGATCCAAGGACAAGAGGAGCGTGTCATTATCATTTCGACAAAGTGGTTATCCAAGGAGTTTGTGGAGTCCGCTAACAAGCATAGTCTAGGGTTTCTTACCAGTCAAAAGCGATTCAATGTTTGAATAATGCGTGCCAAAGTTTTCATAATCGGTGGCCATCCCCACGTTCTCTCAGGTATTCTTTTGGAATCATCTTCATGCGAATATATATATATATATATATATATATATCGTATAATTCAATTTGTGATGGATGAAAGGCCCATCATTTAATAAATGTGTGCATTCATTAAATTTATATGGCAAGATGGCGATTCTTCTGAAAGGAAGGTTGCTTGATTTTGTGCACACTTGAGATAAATTTTTGATCAGTTCAAGTCGACAGTGGCAGTTGATCGTTAGGCACTCCATGTCGAGCTTGTTTTGAACAAGGGCTGTAGAGGACGTGAAAATGATTATGACAGGTTTGGACATCCTTGAGGTTTGAATTAGGTAATTTCCTCCCCAGAATGACACTCAATTGAAGTGGAAATGTGAAGTGCTTGATTCTCCTCACATGGCTTGTGATATAGTGGAAGTAGCCGTGCAGATTCTGTTTCCCCTGGCTATCACAATAAACTTGCCTTGTTTGCAGTAAAACGGTCAATAATTCTCTTGCTTCCGGTTTGAGTTTCTTGAACATCCCATCCTTCTAGATCACTGTAAAAGCTTAGCGTCGTTCTACTCCTCGTCGAAGGCTGGTGATCCTGTTAATTGAAGCCCATGTTCCATTCAGTTATACAAATGCTCGTCGGAGATTGCTCCCTCTTGTTCCCACTCGTATTCCTCCAGTAAAGCGCTCACAGAGAGGGATTTGATTTGTGCAATGTGGAAGTTACATAGGGTTCTAGAGCTACAGGTGACTGTAAATCCCCTCAAACGCATCCCATGTGGTAATTGATTAGTTTCAAGCGGTCAATATTCTAGCAAAGGGATAGGATGATAACCTAGCCCAGCCGCTCTTAAAAAACTCTCCACACAACTCATGAAATGGCTGTCCAGCTTCTCTAATTGATGTGTAAGGTGTGAGTGATGCTGTTGTGGGTTGGTGGTGTACGTCCGTTGTCACACTCCACATGTGTCCACGGCAAAGCAGAGGGCAACCCATCCCGTACCCTGTGGGCAAGCAGTACCCGGGCATAATTAAAAAAGAAGCAAAAAACGAAAGAACTGAAGCATTAGAAATAGACTGTCACTTAGCAAGTTGTGAAGGGACCAAGGTGAACCACATCGACAGACAGGCTATGCCACTCTTCGCCATCACTCGGTAGATGATTGTGCTGTACCTCGGAAATTCTGTGGGTGCCAAATATCCGTCAAACAAAAGAGGTTGAATACAAATGCTGGCACAAAGCTTCCACTGGAGCCCTTGCGTAGGAATCAATCCAACCCACTTTTTGGCATGGAATGATTCTTGTGCAGAACCATCAGGCATGTCGAAACACAATAAGCGTTTGAAAAGATGAGTCCAATCTTTACCTGGTCTTGCATTTGCACAAATCACTCTCTTTCTCTCTCTTTCACAAACTGGTCTGATGTTGCAGTACAGATGATGTATGAATTTTTTGACAGTGGCAGGTTCAGTGTGGTATGGGCTTGACCCAAAGGTTTTGGGATCTTAGCGTCGCATGATTCTGGGTTCGGGATTACGTGGTCTTGTGCGAGGCTGTGGAATCAATAATAGATAATTTTAACAGGGTCATGTGTACTGAGGCTATTAAGATGCAACACACGTTATTGATGGGGCACTCGTTTTTAATGAAAAGTTGGTATAAGACCATTCAAGTCACATTGTACCACACGCTGCCAAGGTTGAGAACAAGCTTAATGTGCTGCAGCACCTGCCCATGGTGAGAACGCCCTGGCCTTCACTTGAGACACTGGGTGGGCCTGTGGGGGGTGTGATAGATCATTATCGGCTGCTTGAAGTAAGTGTTTTGGCAGTTCTAGAACACAAATCCCTGCTGTTGAATTGACTGGTTAATATCGCAATTTGAAATGGTTGTTTTCCAACAGCCATTAACAAGAGATATTGGGATGTGAAACTGCTCCAGGGCATCAACCTTTTTTCCAAATATCAACCAGTGGATGATCATCCACTGGTGACGTTCGTCTCTGTGTACGAGTCTGCGTTCATTCTGCCAAAGAGAATCAAACAGGTTTGTACACAAGAAAGATGTGTCATGGATGAATGTACGTTATTGACATGCAACTAATTCAAGACTTTGAATACGTTTAAATTTGTTGGCAATTAACCTCTAGTTTTACAAATTGGTTGGCAACTGGGCTGACAATCAAGAGCTCAATGAGGCTCATACTTCATACAGACAACTGCAAAGCAACACCACGGGCAAAACATACTGTGAATATCATCCACAAGATAATCATCTGCTTGGTACACGTTTGGGTGGTTTGCCGAAAGGGGGTAGCACCCACTGTTGCACTCATCCATGGATACTCAGTCTGGGGTGGTTCTACCAAAGCGGAGTGCCCAGTTCCAGGACTGGCCCCACGTGCAACTGAGCGAAGCTCTATCTATGTGATACGTGCGAAAGGAAATTTTCCACTTCTTTGTAACCTCTCAGAATGCATGAGCTCCTCCAAAACTCATCTAGATTTGACCGTTTTGCAGTCGGGAAGAATTTAATCCAGTACTAGAGCGTCCTCTTAACAGAATAGCTCTCACATCTTACCCATGGTCAGCTCTTCATTTCCATGCATTATCATCTGTTCTATGTTCAGCGGCATGTATATAATGCGTTGGCCGTCACGCAACCTTGAAACTTCTCGTCGTGACCATTTCTGAGTTTCGTTTCTTCTGCAGTTGCTATGCTGCAATGGAGGGAAACCCGAGGATGCATCAAGGAAACAATCGCGATATTTCTGCTGGCGTGGTGCAACATTGAAAGATGGGAACTTGCAGAGTTCTCACCCGTGTTTGCAGGCTTTTGACGAGGCTTATACCGCAAGTAGTTGGTTCAATGCTGAAGCTGCATCACAAAAGGAGCTACAAATTATTGCTGCGAAGCTACCACCCGGTGTACTAATCACGTCCAATCATGGTAAGATCGCACTTCATAAGGTGGAAAGATGGGAAGAGTGAGCATTTCTGTTCGATTTCGGAGTAGTCCGTGATCATGCAGTTAAACTCCTTTCAGTTGCAAAACAGTAACGTTCTGTAGACAAGAAATGCTCTGTGGTTTTAAACGATCGCAACTGATGTAACCCAAGCGAATCGATGCTTACGCCATAATACTGTTGAATATCGAGTAAGAGTGAGAATTAATGAACATGATTCAAACCTTGGCATATAACAGGTTGGAAAAACGATGGAGAGTAGGGAGGAAGCAGATGGGTGGCTGGTTCACGATGGCACTGTGGACTACAAGGGTAGGAAAGCAGACAAGAGACACACCGGAGGCTGGAAAGCCGCGCCGCTCATCTTCGGTTCGTTGCTTATTTCATGTTCTACCGATTCAGCTGAAATGTTCCAAAAAATATCTCAAGATCCTGCAGTTGTATGCTCTGATCGTGAAGCTTCAGAATTAGTGCTTGATTTGTTTGTAGAACAGCACCTCGACACCCACGATTTCCACGAATGTATACTAACAATTTAGCAAGAGTGGACGAGGTGTTTTGAATTCTAACCTGTGAAAAGCCGGAGCCTAGGATTCACTCAGATGTGTTCTCATGCAGTGACGGAGATGTGCGAGAGATTGGCAGCCTTTGGGATCGGGCTCAACCTGGTCACCTACTTGGTTACAAACCTCCATCTCCCAATGGCTTTCTCTGCAAACATCGTGACGAACTATCTAGGCACCGCATATTTGACGTGCTTGCTCGGAGGATATATTGCAGACACATACATCGGCCGCTTCCGCACAATTCTCCTCGGCGCTGTTCTTCAATTTCTGGGAATGGTTGTTCTGACCCTCTCCGCAACATTGCCAGCCTTCCGGTTGCCTCCTTGCTCCGGCGAACCCGGGGCGTTGCATCCATGTCAACCTGCACATGGCTGGGACATGGTGATCCTTTATGTCGGCCTCTACTTGGTGGCCTTCGGCACAGGCGGCATCAAGTCAAGTGTGTCGCCCCTTGGGGCAGACCAGTTCGATGAGAACGATCCCCGAGAGAAGAAGCTCAAGTCGAGCTACTTCAATTGGTTCTTCATGGCCATTGAAGTTGGCGCCATCCTCTCTGTCACTCTTCTCATCTACATTCAAATTAAGCTTGGTCGCGGCTGGGGATTTGGCATCACTGCTGGAGCTATGTTATTTGCAATTGCTGTTCTGGTCGGAGGTGTGCCATTATACCGGTACCAAGTGAGTTATAAACGCAGCCCGATTGCTCACGTTGTGCGTGTATTTGCTAATGCTTTTCGCAACCGCAAGCTGACGACACCGCCTGCACACTTGTTGTACGAGACTCTTGACAATGCCGAGGAGGGCATTGAGAAGATCCCTCACACCAACCAATTTCGGTAAAATCTCGTCTCGATATTTTCGGTTCACTCGCATTGCACTGAAGAATACAGAATTTTGAACTTCTTTATAGACTTTGTGACGCGTGTGGCTCACGTAGATCCACCCACTGGCCGCCAGGTTCCTCGACAAAGCTGCCATCATAGACTACGAGCAATTTGAAGCCCAGCTATGTAAAACTGGAAATCCGGCGACGGTGACACAGGTTGAGGAGGTCAAATGCGTGCTGCGCATGTTGCCCATTGCAGCCCTCACCATAATCTTCTACACCGTGTACGCGCAAATGCTGACATTTTCATTAGAGCAAGGCGAAACGATGGTGCGCAACGAATTAGGGTTCAACATTCCGCCCGCTAGTCTCGCGGTGTTTCGCGAGATAAGCGTCGTGTTCATCCTGTCGATTTATGGGCCCCAATTAGTCCCCCTCCTGCGACGATTCACGGGGCACCATCGTGGTCTCACCACTCTCCGACGGATTGGCGTTGGCCTGCTCTTTTCATGCCTCTCCATGCTTGCGGCCGCAATAGTGGAGTGGCAACGCCGACGCATAGCGCACCAGCACGGTCTCCAAGACAAACCAAAGGCCATTGTTCCGATGAGCGTGTTCTGGCTCGCGCCACAATTTATGTTGCTCGGCGCTGGCGAGGTATTTACGTACGTAGGCCAGCTCGAGTTTTGCTACCAGGAGTCACCGCTTGGGATGCGAAGTATGTCCACAGCTGTCTTCCTGTGCACTATTTCCTTCGGGTTCTTCACGAGCAGCTTCCTCGTGTCGACCGTCAACCGTGCAACACAGAGTGGGCCTCATCACCAGGGCTGGCTCGTGACAAACCTGAACAGCGCACGGCTTGATTACTTCTACTATGTTCTTCTCATCATCACGCTCTTGAATTTCGTGGGATTTGTCTTTTGTGCGAAGTGGTACACGTACAAAGCTTCTGCAATGGAGGAGTCGGCAACAAAGCCCGTCACAGGGAAACTCCCGTTATCTGCAGACTCGGATGTCCGTAATGATAAATGAAACTAGCGGGCTCTGAACCGCAATTTTCGGTGTAACTCATTGTGGACACGACCTCATTCGACATAGTGATAAACTGCTCCTGGAAAGCTCGGCTGTAACGGAAAACTAATGAATTGGGTGCCCGCTGGGACGAACCGATTGCTATCGAAAGCCAGCTGCGGCCAGAAAGGTGACGATTTAAGGTAGTAAGAACCGGCAGAATCGTGCATCGTGTGGAAGTTGTGTCTTGCAAACGAATAAAATCAACTCTTCTACCTGTCTACACAAAGTCGAAACAGAGGGCCGAGAGATGCCGTGGCAATTTAAGTAATTGCAAGCACATTGACAAATTTTTGCATGCCTTAAGGTTACGAGGGGAATTAAGGTGATGCTGGAGGGTATCATTTGAATTCGTCCTTTGGAATCATTAAAATAAGTGAACATGTTGAACAAAGGTCGATGTGCACAACAGTGCGGCCACTCCTGGACATCCTGTATGATTTTATCCTAAGATGAACTGACCTAGCTCAGTCGGAAGGAGGTATTTCACAAACTTGAATCCCGCTATCGCAATGCTCGATTGGATCCGCCCGAGCACGAATCGCAGTTCTTGATTAGCGTAGATTTTACCAACGAAAGGGATCACCCGGATAATTGGTGAGAACTTGAAGTAGTCTCGTTGCGTTTTGATCATCTTGACGACCTGCTTTCCTTTGTCCTGCCAAAATAACTCAACTGCAAGCACAAGTAGAGTGGGTTGAATTGACAGACGAAGCATGCTCACATAAACGTGCTGAAGGTTTTTGAAACCAATCGGGAATTATACTAGCTTGATCAACAACAAAAATGGAGATATCAATTCCACGAAAGGTAGTTTGCCGGCGCCAGATCCCGAATGCTTACGACTTCGACATCATCAAGTTCGACAACCGTGTATATAGAGAGGAGAGTGGTTCCGTGCCAGTAGAGAGGCCATGGCTATATCAGCACTTGACTCCAGAGCCCTGCAACGTTCGTCTTCTCATCGTAGAGAATCTCCTCGATAATTACGCCCTGATAATTAGCTATCATCTGCACGATTACCCCAACCTCAAAAGCTCACAAATTTTGAGAGAGAATCAAGATAAATTGAGTTAAATTTACTGAATAATAACAAGAAGGAAAAATGATAAGAGTAAGGTTAAAATAGAATTTTTTTTTAGTAACAACCAATTCTCCAAAGACTAAATTATAGTCTATTGTTAAAAGAAAAATCATTCTACTTTATAAAGAGGGTCACAAGGTCAATTAAGTAAGTAGTGGCCAATAACCCTATTAAACACAACTTACAAAATATATACAAAGAAGTTTTGTAAAAGAGTAAAAGAAGTCTTAATAGAAAAAAATTGTGCTAATCAAAGTGCCTTTTTGTGAATAAGAATCATTTTGATAATCTCTTAGTGGCTCAAAACTCTATTCCCTAGACTAAAGAATGCAATCAATATCTTATTTTTCTAAGAATGGAATTTTTCAAAGCATATGACAAAGTATCATGACAATTTGCATTTGCTACTCTTTAAAATTTAGATTTAATGATATTTTTGTAAAATTGATAAACATACTCTTCAATAAATTTAGATTTAATGAATTTTTTGTAAAATTGACAAACATACTCTTCAATGGGGTTTACATTTCTAATCTTTGATATCGACTTCCATATAATTGATTTTGATTTATATTCACATGTTTCAAATAATTTTTTCTAGTCTATCCAAAAATAAATGGAGACTTTTTACTTTTTTTAAGAAACATAAAATAAAATTATATATTTAATTATAAATAAAAAAACACTATACATACATTTATTAAAGTTTAGGAGATGTTTTTTCCTCAAATATTCTTTAATTGGTGGTTTTACTTATAATCATACATAAATAAATCAAATAATAATTCTAAAACATTTGTCCTTGAATCTTTTCTCCACATTTTAAATTTCAACCTCATAATAACAATTCAAATAATAGACCTCAATTTTACCTTCGAATTTGTGCAATCGTCTAATGTCAGGATCTTCAACACAAATTCATGAAGCCAACTTAAAAAAACACAAATTCAAGCTTGTTTACCATTATGCTTAAACACACATGACAAACCACAACATTCTTCCGAAAAAAAGTAGTAGAAAACGCGAGTTGCGCCAACGCCACACATTAAGAAAAACTGCCGAATCCGTCACCGACAACAGCAAAACGCCTGCATTGCGTGGAATGGATTGATGTAATCGATCCAAGTTCATGCCAGTTCGTTGCCGAAACACTGCAACTCGATGTCACAAATCCTTTGTCTCGTTCGACAATTGTGCACCGGTGCTTTGCGCTTGTGCAATCGTCGGCTCCAACTCCGATGGACCATGATCAGGCTGCATCGTGAGCTCCGCCGACGCTACACGTGCCTGCGAGTAATGCTCGAAGCACCTCAAAGCTGGTAGAGGGTTCCCTAGATCGTTCCATAGCGCGCGAGTCCAGTAAGAGTTGCCTTCCCCCGGGTAGGCTTCCGCTGGAGATCGCCAGGCTGATTCCCAGTAGCAGACCCCAGCTCCTAATCCTCTCGGTAGCGCCGTTACGACCTGCAGCAACGCATCCAAGGAGGATTCCTGTGTGCCGGGGTTGTTGGGAGCGGGGATCCAGTAATCGGCGACTTCGGCGATGATCATGGGCTTGTTGTATCTTGATGCAGCTTTAGCTAAAGAAGTTTCTAGATCTGAGAGCAGGGCCCCATCTCCCGGGTAGAACGATAGGCCGAGGAAGTCGAAGGAGACGTCGTCAGCGACCATCAGGTCCATGAACCAGGTGACTAGGCCCTCATCCTGGCCGTTGTTGATATGCACCATGGTTGCGATGTCGTTGTCTACCGCTGCGAGTCCGCTCTTGAGAAGTGCCGTGAACTGCGATGTGTAGGACAGGGAGCCCGTGGGCCATAACATCCCGTTGGAGATTTCGTTGCCGACTGCGACCATAGATGGTGGCGTTCCTTGGCTTTGCAGAGCTCCAACCGTGGAGGCAACGTAGTCTGCCACGGTCTTGCGAAGCGTGTCGAAGTCTTGGTCTGCCCACACCGCTGGGGTATACTGCTTGCCTGGGTCGGCCCAGTAGTCCGAGAGGTGGAGGCATAGCAAAATGTTCAAGTTCGCCTTCTTGGCTCGTTTCGCCATTTCAAACACGCTTGACAAGTCGCTGAAGCCAGCGGGAGGGTTCACCCAAAGCCGGAGGCGGATGAAGTTAGCGCCATGATCGGCCACAATCTGTTCGGGGGGTTTGCTGTAATTTGAGTTGAAATCATAGTATTTCAGGCCTTTTTTCTCACATTGCAGCACTGTTGACAGGTCGTGTCCCAGCAGCATTACTCCGGATTTTGCTACCATGGCGATAATTTGTTCGTGATTGAACTTACTTGATGAGACTGCACAAGCGCAGAAAGCTTCGTGTACGACTTCCAGTACGACTGGTCGAGAGCGTGGTTGAATTTTACCGAAAGAAAACCCAAACTCTCTCCCTACCAAGGTCTGCTAATTTCCGTGTGCTGCGTCCCGAACTAAATTCTCCTATAGCAATGCTTCAAATGCTTACCTGAGAATTGGAACAAATCAGCTGAGTCAGCTGGCCTCCAGAATGATTGAAGCATCTCGAGAATCTACCGAATGAAGAAATATCAGGGCTTACAGAGTACTTATGAAGTACAATATTAAACAGAAACTTCGATGATTGAATCACGTAATCGCCCATAAACACCAAGCAATAGTAAATCCAAGCAACTTTGAACAAATAGCTCGCACCTAGCAATAGCAAAATCAATTGTTCAATGCATCCAACGTTTTTGCAACATAATCAAGACACCGCTACAGCATAGATGCATTTGTTAATTTGAGAATTCTCACAATGTAATGGTATAAGCTCAACAATCTGAGACAGACCTCGAAAGTTGCATGTGTGAAGCCGGAAAGAGCGAAAATGGTGTACAGTGTGGCAAAGTTGGTGAGAGATTGATCTAAGACGAGTAGATTCAGCTTCGTTCAACATCCAGCTTTATCAAAGACCCGTTTTCCAGCTTAGCAGAAGATATCCCACGACATTGCTCAGGATGAGGACTTTTAACATGATCCCCTCACTCAACTTGGCGACAACCTAAAATCCACATGGGCCCCAGTGCAGTCCATTTAACTCTTTCAAGCAAAGCAGGGACAATCAGTCTCACCAAATTTTGTTTGCTTTCGATAACTCTTGGATGCAGACCGATCACCAGATGGAATGATATCTTGCTAATCGAGCAAGCGCGTAGGATATTGAAAACAAACACTTATTCTATTGTTTTAGTGGAGTTTCTCGCACATTTCCCATTACAAAAACTATTGGTTACGTGTTCCAGGAGACCAACTTCAAGGTGCACCGCAATAACAGAACCTTCAACAGCAATATTCTGCTGTCTGTCTGTTACTTCAAGTTTGCTGTCGAAAATATGCCGAAACGTAAATAAACAGCCTCTGACACACTTAGCAATTGCTTCGACTCCATGCTCCTCGAAGCAAACTTGACCCAACTCGAGACATAATCAACATTTTCTTTGATATGCTTCATAGTTTTAGAAAAGCTGAATTGGGGTCATTGCATTTGGAAACATTGGCTAATTTTCACCAATCATCTTCTCTTCTCAACATAAAAAAAACTTAACAGAAGGTTACATTATTCAATCAAAATAAACTTTTTAAAATTTAATAAATTTATTCAATAAAAATCTATCATGATTTTAATATCTATTTAACAGTAATGCATATTTGACAAAATTACATATATTTTAATGTTATGTTGAAAACAAAAAATAATCAAAATGAAGATATACATACAATTTTAATGTTAATTTTACTTAATTAAACACAAAAATTTTTATTTATTTTTAAATTTAAAATATATAAATTATAAACATTAATAATCATGATAGAAATAAATTTATAAAAAGAAGAAAAAATTAACCGTCTTCAAATAATTTAAGCTTTGATTTTAGATGGATATGTACCAAAGATAATAAAAAAAAATACTAATATAAGAAGTTTGTATAAAAATAAACTAAATTTTATTTTTATTTTTAAAAAATATTTATAAATTTTTAAAATTACTAAAATATTATAAAAATTTTAAAATCTAAATAAGATATTATAAATACATATTTTGGATTCTTTATAATAAAAAACTCTATAAGTAATTGTTATCCAAGAGTAATATCTTCAATATTAATGCGTATTGTTATCTTGCATCTGAATATATTAGTAATAAACTTAAATATATACAATAATGTCATTTTTATCTTATCCATGATAATACTATTAAGATTATTGAATTAGAAGGAAAAAATTAATACAATACTTTTTATAAAGTTAAATTTATAAGTAATTATTTAAAACTATTGCTAAAAGTTGGAACAACAAGATATTGTAAAGAAAACGGAAATATGTTTTATTTTTTAAAATTAAAGCATAAACAGTTTTAAAACTTTGCAATGTTTTTTTTATATCATTCACCTTTTTATTAAGTTAAATTTATTCTTTAATATACAAGAATATTTATTACTTAAAGCAAGTAATTTTAAGTCATAAATTATTAATATTGTAATCAATTTACATTCATTTCAAATAAAATAATGTCACATAATTAAATAAAAATATATTGATCCTATTATAAAAATATATTCTAAAATATATAACTAAATTACATTATTTGTTTAAAGAAACAATCATTATAAGTGTATAAACTTTTCTTGTAATATATTACATACATAATTTATATTTTAAAAAGTCTTATATCCTTGTGTAAATTGTATAAATTTATGTGTTGAATTTAAATTTGAAGGTGTTTTTAATGAATTTTAATTCCATTTTAAAAAAGTCAGTTATAAACTTTAATGAGATGAATTCCTAATATTTTGGTGTGCTGTAAATTGCATATGATAAGTTTCTTGTAAGAAGGCAGTTGGTAAGAAAAAGTAATTGTACTCACAACAACAAATCATTTCAATCAGAAATCATTTCAAATATATATATATATATATATATATATATCAAAATATTTTTATTTTTTACTTTAAGTTGTTATTTATATATCTATATATATATATATATATATATATATATTTGAAAGTATGTATGTGTGTGTAGAGTATTGCAAATGTGACCATAGTTTCTACTATTTTTTCTACTACAATTTATTCAACTTAAATTTGTTAATTATTTATATTAAATTAATTAAAAAATTTATATAATTTGAAAATAAAAAATTACTAAAAATATTAACAATGATTGAAATAAGAAAACTAAAAAATATATGTTAAATGGTGGCAGGTTGTATTTAGATGACATGTGGTGGATGACAAATTGTTGTAGCAATAACAAAGATTGTAGTGGCATTAGTATCACTAACTATAGATATATCTTATTTATTTTAAATTAGTTTTAAAATAAATTATTCAACTATAATCTATTCAGTTTGAGGTAATATTCTTTACTTTGATTTTATAAGGAACCTAATTAAATTTATTTTTATAATTGGTATTATGTATAAAAAAAATTAAATTTTATTCTATGCACATCAATAGAAAGAAATGAATAAAATAGATTATTTTATAGATTTTATTTATAATGCACCTTCAAATAATTTAAATTAATTCAAATAAAAAGATATAAATCTTAGCAATACAAGAATATTATATTTTTGCAAAATCTTGGTTATTTTTTTTTTACATTTTTTCTATTTTCCTCTACAAAGTATTTTGTTTTCTTTGGAGTTGTTAGTACAAGCTCAAGGTTTTCTATCTTAATTCTATAAGAACATAAACACATCAAATATTAGAAAAAAATTAGGGTTTGATAAAACAAACAAATAATAAAATAGAAGTAGAGTAGAGAAAAGAAATATATATATATATATATATATATATATATATATAGTATAACCTCTCATAAGTTTTAGGGTTAATTCATCTCCCAAAACATAACTTATAGGAAGTTAAAACTTACCATGGTTAGTCAAAATCATGAACCTACTTGAGTGTCTACTTATCGCTAGCCTAATACTTTCCTTCTTGTACATCTAACACTTATGAGCCCTATATAATATTGCACTTTAACAACATCCAACAACAACTAATCTATAAGTACAAAGCTGTATAATCTTCAATCTTGTAGAAAACTCTTGCAAAGTAGGAAAAAATGAAGTTTAAGTTTGCAAAAGTACCTTCACAAGTCACTATTAGCAAAATCCTAAAGAAACGGTGTCGAGGTAGAGAGAGTTTGTCTCAAGAAAGCGTTGGGCTTTTGGCTGCTACTAAATGTTCAATCAAGTCTAAGATATAAAATTACCAAGTTTATATATATAATATTTTCCCTTTTAGGGCAATTACATCAAAAAATAAGCCGAAGTACCAAGAAAACAACCAAATATATGATAAAGTATCTTAAAACCTTATATATCCTTATGAGAAATGTTTCTTGAACTTCAACATCTCATATCTCATAATTGGACCTTCCAAAAAATCCTAAATTTTACATGAAGTACTGATATAGTTTCAAAAACTATCACAAAAAAATTCAACTGCAAATTCATTACGAATCTTGATATATCACTAAAATCCTAACAGTAGCTTTAAACCCTAGCTTACATATACCTACGTGCTAATTTCTTCATATCTCACAAAATAAGTACTTAAATACTATGAAACTTTTATTTATAGCTTTTTAACCTAATAACTCATATTTATAGAAATTTTGAGCTAAAAATTCGTCCAAAAACTCAAGATATGGCTCCAACCATTACTATCAACAAAATGACTCACTTACTGCCTTTGAATTACATGTGCTATTTTCAATGTCCTATAACTCCTTTATTCACACATAGAACTTGACAAATAGTATATGTAAAGTTTAGCCAAGAAAGTGTTCTTTTCAACTCTATTTGTTGAACTTTCATTTCTCTCCGTATGCATATGTTATGCTTCAAAGAGTGACAGTAGGTACAAATTTGACACCTTAACTTTGAACACCAATATCTCCTTTACAAAAACTAGAAATCACACAAATTCTTCACTCAAATTATATCCAAAATCCTGAACTTGCTGATTCAAGCCTCTAAAGCTGGAATGACTTCGAAAGAGAAACCCTAATCTCTAATAAGGCCTCAAGCAGCCTCCTTGAAGTCCATTGGATATGGCCTTCGACCAATAGGAATGAAGATCTCTATTCCTTAGCTTCATCCAACCATGCCTTGCTTTCATCCCTCCCAATAAGCCTCCTAATAGTTCAAACTTTCATCTTTAGATTCCAACCTTTTCTTAAGTTTTATACTAAATATCTAAATCCAACAAAATATAAATACTATAATCAAAATAGATAAATTTCCAAATAAATTTTCCTATATCAATTCTGTTTAAATTTATTTACTAACCACTCTAATTGTCACGGACACAAAATACAGACTTGAAATCTAACAAGAAGTTCAAGAAGAAGTGGCAGAACTAGATTAAACAGATGAGTACAAGAACAACACCAGAAAGGTGACTAGAACTCCAAGAGATGTGTTGTCGAGACTGAAGAATCCTTCAGCCTCGACTCCTATATATACTACTGAATAGGAAGCTTCTCGAGCTACTTCCGCTAACTAGGACGCTTCTCCAACAACTTCTATTAATTAGGAAACTTCTCGAGCAACTTCCTAGAATCTATCAGAATATTCTAGAACCTTCTAAGAGAATCTTTAGAGAATATTCTAAGAATCTTCTAGAACCTTCTAAAGGAATCTTTAGAGAATATTCTAGAAGAATATTCGAAGAATCTTCCAATGTATGTCCATGACATCACCTCCTCTTCTAACTTCGAGGTCTCCGAGAAGCAATGTTGTTATCAGTCAATACCAACGCAAGAAAATGAAAATCTGTCGCATCACATTCGCTATGAATTCCAATTGTTGCTCGCGAGGCAAATGATTCATCGGCCCTTGGAGCCAACGGTAGTGACCAACACCTTCAACCTCTGACCAAGCGTGGACTTCTGTATCTTCATTGTGAAACTGTCCTCCAAACACACCTTCTGGCTGACCGTCGTAGGCAGGCTCGACCTCAAATACAATTACTAGCGATTTGTTACTC